GCCCGCGTGGCAAAGTCGCTTGTGCATAAGGTCAAATGTGACTTTGTTGTTATTCTTGCTTACCATAGCAAGGTTAAGGGCCGCGTTAATTTTCGGGCCTTCGTAGTTGTTGGTGACGATAACGGCAACATTGTTATGCCAATCGAGTTTGGCGATCGCGACGTTGTTTCCAATGTGGATAGTGTCGTCGCTGACCTTGTAGCCCTGCTGACGGAGTGTGCCTTGACTCAGCAGGTTGACTGGGCAGTCAGGGCAGTACTGTACATCCTCAATTGACCAGTCGACCACCTTGTTGCTGTCATCTGGATCAACGGCAGTGAAGTAAACCGTGCCGTAACCAGCTGGCGATGCGTACTGACCGTTGGCGACTTCCATGGGTGGCAGTATTGCCTCGGTGAAGGAGGTGAACCAACTGAGGTTGTTGAAAGTGGTTCGCGAGCACCCGGAATCCGGGATAATGTCGTCACGGTTAATTCTGCCCGTTGCCATCGAAGTTGAGCACGGCAAGACTGTATGTCCCATTGTGTTCTGGTGGAGAACGTTCGGCGTAGCCTTGACCGCGACTGCCTTACCCTCCCGGCATTCGGAGGTACAAGTATGAGCAGCAGCTTTCTTGAGCAGGTTCTCACGGTACTTATGGTTGGATGGGATGAGGTCGGGATGGGCGACCCAGCAAGAGGTAGTCGCATGTTTCTTGCCGCAGTGTTGGCAGTCAGGACCATTGTAGTTGTTGTTAGGTCGCTGATTGTTGTTTGAGGTGTTACCGGAGGCCTTGTTGTTGCCGTTGCTGTTGTTTCCAACGGCGACGTAGCCCCTCGCGGCATTGAGTGAAGCAGTCCTTTCGGCATTGGCCTTGAATGTGAGATCGCGTGTGAGATCTTCAAGGGTCTTGGTGTTGTCCTCGACGTACTTGTCGTAAAGTGCTGGATATTCTTGTTGGCATCCGTTGAGTAGGATGAACATGGCTTTCTTGTGCCAAGAGGGGACCAGCTCATCGATACGACGAATGAGATACTGGCCACGCTGGAGATACTTATGAGTATCTGAGAAGTCCTTTCGCTTGAGGTTGCAGAGCTCTCGAACGAGCTCGGCGACGGCATCCTCTGAAATCTTGGGGATGATGGTCTTCAATTTGTTCATGAGAAGGAAGGGGTTGCGGTCAGCCGTCTTGATGTCGTATCCATCAGCGAGGAGACGATCGAGGACTTTGCTGATTGATGCGATGATGATGCCGTACGTTTCAATGCGCTGGCTCTTCCAAGTAGTGAAGGCCACAGCCTGCGCTGGAGTGATAGGATCATCGCGATGGGGTTGAGAGACGTCTTCATCGACGTACTTCTCGTAATCGAGAGTCTCAAGGGTGAGATGCAGTACTGCGTACCATTGGTCCCAATTTTCTTCTCCCTTGAGGTCGGGCACCTCCCAGCGGGCGCGGTTGCCAGCCATGATGACGATGGAGGTGAAAGATTCGTGATAGTGTGTGTATAGGTGTAGACGGCCTGTACGGTCGCGTCTGTTATTGTTTTTTTTTTTTTGAGGAATCTGTACCTCTGCCGTTGCCAGTCGCGACGCCGCGATCTCTGGTCGACAGATTAGTAACTGCTCAATTGAACGGGCTCTACGCAGAGCTGGGCGATCAATTCATATGGGGTAAAAAGAAAAAGAGTCAACGCTGGGCTCTCATAACCTGTGGAGGCAATACTACTGTATTGGATCTGATGATGATGATGATAGGAAAAGCTGAGCGCTGGCTGGGCTGGATATCTGGGCAAGGTGTAGGTGGGGCAGCTCCGAGATGTGAAGGAGCTGCCTCACGTGACCCACCTGCACCTGCCACACTCCCATTCGAATATCTTGACAAAAAGCAACTCGAACACTCAGGTACTAAAAGATAAGCGCATATCACGGTAAGGTCCTTTTGATTCAATTGTCAAACAATGATTGGCTCCTGATTGCAGAAAGCAGAAGCTCACTTGGTCACTTGATCTTGATTCAGATCCAGGCTCAAGAGCTCTGTCATTTGTGGCATATATACGGGTTTTGTATGTACATTGAATTGAGAAAAAGATATATTCAAGAAAAAATGGCACAGGAGACGAGGAGTGACAGCAAAGCACCGAGCTGCGGCAGCCCAAAGTTCAAAGCGTCGTCAAACCTTCTACGCTCTCCCACAGCCGTCAGGCTGGTATTGCCGTCCTACTTCTTTTTAAGCCAGAAGCTCAACAGCGTCAAAGCTGACACCAGCGCTGAGGTACTTCTCGCCGGTGCTGCCACTAATGACTTTGATGGTGAGGATCTGCCACTCGCTCGTGCTCTGGATCCAGGCGGTCTGCGGCACGGCGAAGGTCAGCTTGACGTTGTTGCCGCGGTAGGTGCCGACGGTCAGCGAGCGGGTGCTGGCCTGGTTGGTGGCCGCGGGCAGGGCCGAGGCCCACGAGTTGACGTTGATGGCGGGGCGGCCGCCGATGTAGCCCTCCGTGATGCCGATGCGGACGGTGTGGCCGGCGGCGAGCTGGGCGGTGGTGAGCTTGAAGTAGACGAGGTAGCCGCTGTTGACCTCCTGTTGGGGACACATGGTTTGTTAGTACACACGCTTCAGTGAGACGCTGAGAGAGTGTTGGGGGGGGGCAGTGACTACTGACCTTCCACATGTAACCGGGGAAGCGGTTGGCGCTGTGGGTGCCGACGATGAAGTTGCCGGCGTTCCAGGTGGAGATGCGGGTGTCGGAGGGGTGCATGTAAGTGGGCTTCATGGGGGTGTCCTCAAAGTTCAAGAAGCCCTTGGGGGTTCCATCTATGCTACAAGTTAATTTTTGCTCTCTTCATGTGTTCAAAGCTTGGATAGGGAATATGACTGACCCCACTCGCCGATGCGCCAAATGACAGCGTCATCCTGGGGGTCCACACAGGTGATGGTGTTGACGGCAGTTCCAGCGCCAGCCTTGATGGTGACGGAGGACGTGGCGACCTCGAGCTCGTCCTTGTAGACGGTCAGGGTGTAGGTGCCGGGGATAATCTTGGTAATGGACCAGGCGCCGCCGGAGCCGGCGGTGCCCCAGTACTGGGCGGCGGAGTTGGACAGCCCGACGACGTACGTCTTGCCGGACTTCATGTTGGAGAGACCGACGCCGGAAGCGTAGCCGCGGCCAGAGGCGGGAACCCAGCCATCGAGCTAGATTCGAGTCAGATTAAGTAAGCTACGTGGTGTTGAATAGGGGAAAGTCGCTTACACCAAGGTCATCGAACCAGGACCAGTCGGCCTTGCGGGCGAAGAGGTTGCTGTTGGGGTCCTCGCCAGCGGTGAAGGCCAGGACGGAGGGGCCTTGGAGACCGGTGCGCATGGGATCGGTGTGGCCCATGTTGTAGTAGTAGATGTCGTACAAGTCCTCACCAGTCGGGTCCGCGCGACGGACGAGAGATCGGAAGAAGGGACCGCCGCTGGCCTTTTCGTGGTTGCTTCTGATCATGAACAGACCGACGCCGGTCTTCTTGCGGCCGACGTAGTCGACTATCAGGGGTCAGTATTGGTACACAAGATTCGCATAGGGGAAGGACGCCTACAGTCCATAACTCTGCCAATTGTTAGTCAACTTCTTGGAGGATGAGAGATTACGTTTACGTACCGGCCGTAGTTGGAGCCTTGGTAGTGCTTGCTCTTGGTCAAGCCGGCGCTGTTGACGTTGATATCCTGGGCCTCGATGATGGTGCTGCTGGCATCATAGAAGTCCTTTTTTGTACCTTGTCAGTTGCCTCTCGCGGCACATCAATAGATTAGAGGGTACATACACTCTCGGTAGAGTCGTGGGAGAAGATTCCGCCCGGAATGCGAACGATGTAGCGCATGGCCGAGACGGAGTCGTCTGCCTTATTCGTGAAGAGGTACACATTGTTGTTTCCGTAGCGGACGAAGATCCAGTGCTTGAGAGTCTATGGACGTATTTGTCAGGATATGATCCTTCGAGGTTATAGTGGGAGGGAAGACGTACGCCGTGGACGACCGAGACCTTGATGACATTGCTGTAGCTCGTAATGCTGACCGTGCTGGTACCGAGTCCTTTTGATCATGTCAGTCTTGTTCAATGCCATCAGGGACAGGTGCATATATGTGAACCAACCTGATTCGACATGGGTATTCTTGCCGCCCCAGCCGTTATACTCGACGCCCTTGTAGTTGAGCGACGAGATGTCACCGCAGCACTTGGTCACCTTGATGACGAGGTCAGAACCGCTGTCAATGACATACTCTGACCCGTTGTCAGTCCAGCCCCAGGCCGCGAAGACCGCCGGCAGGAAGAAGAGCGAGCACAGGAACGAAAGGAACAGCATGGTTGCTGTTTGGTGTCTCCCTGTGTTTTACAGAAAACTCGCAGCAGCAGTGCGAGTCTTGGCAGTAAAAAAAAGGAGTGACAGAGGGAAACGGAGACAGGACGAACAGACGCGAAGAGCTTCCCTTCCTCTTTTTGCCTTGAAGAGGGCGGGAAATCAGGGAGCCCGTCTCATTATATTGGCAAACCTGAAGCCCTGGACTTCCATCCTCCCTCCTTTCTTTCCGCTCCGCTCCTGAGACCAAGGTCCATACAGTAGACCAGCCCCAAAAGGAACTCAGACATTCCCGTCCCGGCCGACAGAATCGTGCTGCGGAATTTCCCTTGACAAACCGCCCCCGCCCCCCCCCTCTCAAGCTTACTCACTTGAAGGAACCTCTATGGTGGGAATAGATTGAGGGTTGCGATGTAAGCGGAGGAGGGCGCGTGCTCAAGCTGGTCCCCCCATGTCATCCATCCAGGACCATGGGCCCCTCGGCGCTCATGGCCCTACCGGGCGCTTCGTCCGTGATCCTTGAGCCCCACTCATTATATCCGGGCATTGAACCCCCCACCCCGGCCGGACAGGAATCCTCCGGTTGGGAAGAAAAAGGTTCTTCTTTTCTGCCCGCCGTCCACGCAAGTACCCTCCCACGTGCGGCGTACTTCCCAATTGTCTGCCCCTTTTGCATCACCGGGCTGACAATATGGTGGTCGTTCGGAGGGGGTTGAATCGTGAAACAATATCGGCCGGGGCAGCTTCCCACGGGTTGGTGCCACTGGTGGAAATGCGCGTAAAGCACTACTGGCAGCTGCAAACTCCCCCCCGTCATCGGATTAGTCGGCCCTCTTGGTACCCTTGTTGACTCACTCGAGGTGACATTCGCGATATTGCTTTATTGGCATGGCCTTTTTGCATAACCCGCACCGCAATCTTCTTTGGCTTTTGCGCTGCTTTGCACCGCCTTTCGGTAGTCGTTGCCCTCAGGGCGTCCTTGGCACAAGGCACCGTCAAGTGCATCGGGTTGAATGTTGCATTCACATGCCGATCCCGAGGCTTGACTTTCGAGCCGCCGGCTTTCAAACCCCTCGTTGACAACCTGACAGGCGCCCTCTTGCGGCATAGGCCGTTGATCGCGTTGTCAGTCCGATTGGCAGCGACGCTAGTGTATACGCGCAACCTTCGCAACACTGGCGACTTGGGTTTAAACCGTTTAACCCGTTTCTCGAGTACCCTCAGAGCCATCAACTCCTCTCCCCCACCAAGGACAAAAGAAAAAGGATCACGTACATATTACACATTGTGCCCATCTACTCCGTAGCCAAGCTCTGTTCATACCGACTGCCTAATCAGACCCTCGGAGCTGCCCGCCAGAGAGATGCAAAGTCAGGAAAGATCGTACCGAAAGCACCGAAAACGTGAGGGTTTCGTGTGCGATACTGCAAGAGGAAAGTCCGGATCGGCACAAGGGTCTTGATGGGCCTCGACGACTCACGAGGAATACATGGTGACATGGTAAAAATGGGCGCCCACTCCGCTATCGTGATTTCAAGTCCCAAAAGAGAACCACGGGATGGGCAGGTTATTGCGGCAATTCTTGTATGCGCCCACAAAAGCCTTCTTGGCAATTAAATGGGGTTCGCTAAGGTAGAACATTTTACCCAGTCTTTAAACTCGGTATAGCAGGACGTTCACTATTGATGTGTCCTTGCCGAAACAACCTTGGGCGACTTTTGCTCTGGTGAAATCTGGGGCTACTCGACGCTATTCAGTTCATCCAACTCTGAACAAGACAATGCCAACATGCCTAATAAGATGGACTCATGCATAGTAGTTAAGAAGAGCATATCGATGTTTTGCTGAACCCTCACAAAAAACCAATTGCGCCATAACAGTCTGGCCATCGCCAATCGAGAGCTATGCCTTCATAATTATACCTAGATGCACAACCTGCTGGAATAGGCAAAGCCTGCGTTTCAGAAGCAAATCCCCGGTCCTCAAAAATCTTGGAGCGCCCGCTCCGCGAGCGCGGAACCAACCTATCTAGGCGTGCTAAAAACCTGCATTTAAGACAACGTCGGGGACTGTGGCATTCTCGATTCGAGAGACCTGAGATATGAGCACAAGATACGTGAGAACAAGGTGATGGGAGCCAAGGGTTCGTAAAAAAAAACTTAAGAAGCGCCGCCCCGATTAGTTCCGGATGCCCCGCCACCGCCTTCAGCATGGTCCCCGCCGGCCCCGCACCTCCGCCAACAATATCTTCCGGAGTACGGATACGGTAGTCGGCTTGGCCTGTGCACAGAAGACGTCTACAAAGACAGGCATTCGCTCCTTAGGGCCTATATTCTAGAAACTTATGACAAAAAAAGTCAATGATAGACTACTTACTACCTGAAATTCTACTAAGTGATGCGATATCCTAAACGCTGACGCCTTACTTTGGAACTAGCTTCGGCACTGCCATATCGTAACGATGTACAGGCAGAGCTTGCCAGAGTGTTGAAAGCATGCCCTTGCGGTCCTTCCATATTGAGGACCGCCTTACTTTGGTGCTATCACCGTGGAGATGTCATTACCGTGGATCTCAGCATTGCTCGCCATTCAAAAGTCTCGTTCATTCATAAAATTTGTACATGCCTAGTGCACAGAAGATACAACCCAAGTCTATCTATCCATCAATCGGACACCTGTACTCCCTCGCGTGGGTCTCCGCCCGGGTTTTACCCTCAACCTCTGGCCGGGACTGATACGCGTCCAGGCAGCTCTGGTGATAAATATGCCTGCAAGCCAACACGACCAACGGCCCCAGCGGCTGCTCTCTCGGTTTCGCCACAACTTCGCTCTGTCTCTCGACGCCTTCTTCCGGCGCCGCCTCGTCCGCCTCCACATGGGAGTCTGACGCCACAGGCGCGGCCTTACCCTTCCCTTTGGAATCTGATGCGGCCTGTGATACGTCGCTGCCGCTTCCAGCCTTCCCCTTGTCCCCAGCAACAACCAAGGCTTTCCTTTCTGCTTTCCATTCTTCTTCCCGCGCTTGCTTCTCCTCCCAAGCCTCGAAGACATTCCCCGACACACCAGGGCCCCAGATGCGGCGACCACAAGCTTCGCATGTCGAGCCCCTGGGTCGCCAGCCGCGTTGACGAAGGTCTACGGCTTGCTTGACATTGACAAACAGGCTTCGCTCAAGAAGTCGGTTGGAAAGCCGAAGTATTGATTCTTCGTAGGCGTAGGCTGAGAAGATCGATGCCAGGACGGAGCGCAAATCTGCGAGGTTAGGTGATGAGGCCGCGGCTCGAGTAAGGAAAGCTCGTAGGATTCGGAGGAATGACAAATTGCTTCCAGCATTGGTAAGAAGTCTCCCTCCACCTTGACCTCCTGCAGGGCTGGAAGTCGTTGTCAGGAGAGCCGTAAAAGTGTGTTGAACAAGGGATCGCAAGAGAGCTAAAAGCTTGTCCTTGTCAAGACCGTCAAGCCCATCATGAGTGTCATGAGGAAGAGTGCCATTCTCAGTGGTGCTTGTAGTCTCAATGATGGACGATATCTGCCGGGTTGTCTGCACAGCTGCATCGATCAGGTTGAGCCAGAGCTCTTCATCCGGTGACAAAACCTCTGAAGTTGAGGACTTTGTCTTCTTTTGAACGCCATTCGCTTTTCTTGACGACTTGGTCTGACCTTGACAAAGCCAGATGCCCACATGCACGTACTTCTGCAATGCCCGCAGGATTTCTTCAGCGCCTGACTGCAAGTCATCAGCCTTGTCATTATTTTGAGCGCCTGTCAGGACACCTTGCAGGGCAGACTCTAGCGTGCCGAGGTGCTTGACAAGTCTGTCCATAGCATCCTTGACCTGGCCCTCGCGAGCCATGAGCACAACGGCAGCGTCGATGACACCTGTCTCTTCCATGGTGGGAAGCAAGGCATCTAGTCTCAGGTTCACGGATTGAACCAAGCCAATGTAGTCGGACACATGAGCAGGGTCAAATCTGCACATGAGCTGTACATAGCGTTCAATCAGAGCTCGGTCGGGGTTCGATGGGGATTCCCCATCGCGCTTTTCTGGCTCGAGCAACGTTCTGAGGTAAAAGAATTGCAGCCCCAAAGAGTCTTCGGCAGAGTCCAGAACATGCTGGTGGATGTCTGCGGGCTGCCCTGATAAAGATTTCGCAGCTTCGACAGGATTTGTCTCGATGAGCGCCCTGGCGTTGTTCTTGATTGCGTCAAGGACTTCTTGAACCTGGCGGCGGTTCAGACCACTATGTGGCCGGAGACAATCCCCGATACATTCAAAGACGGCGTCCCGGTCAGCGGGGTCTTCGAAATAAATCTGGACTAGCTTGCCATATTGTTTATCAACCTTGTATTGCCTCTTCAAAATCCGGTAGAAACCGGCCTTCTTGAACATCGGTATGAGCGTGTTCGCATCGGGCGGTTGATAAATCGAGAGAAGGTATTCGGCGCTGAGCTGTGCATCTTCGGCAAGATCTGTTCCGGGGTAGTTGCACAACCCGGTTAGAACCTTCGTAAGAGTTGAACCCGGGAAGAGCAAGTATTGAGGGAACTTTGGCAGGTTCCGAGCGATGAACATATCGAGGTAAATCGTGTCCTCGGCTGCGAAGTCTGCTGGGTTCATGATCTCCAGAAGTATGGATACGATGTACTGACGGTCGACCGTACGGCCAAAGATTTGCTCTTCAGGCACGTCGCCCCTGATGCCACCGTTAACTTGCTTGTCCGGCGAATCGTTCAAAAACGAATCCTCAAAAGCCTCGTTCACTGCACTCAAGAAACTCGGGGCATCAAACTTCAGTATCAGCCTGAGATACGGGAAGGACGGCTCTGTATGCTGGTCTGGCCGTGTAAGGAAGCGTCGGTCGCTGCCTTTGGGCCATGTGACACTGTTTCCCGAGAATAGAAACCAGTAAATTTCAGCTTTAGCTTTTGAGGCAGTGGCGTCGTCCATGATCTCGCCGGTAGGATATACTCTGCCCGTCAACGTGTAAGAGAGGTAGGGGAACATTTTCAACGCGTTCACGCCGTAAATCTCGTCTTCCATATTTCCGGAAGACATGTAGTCGCCATTGCTCATGAGAGGCACCAGCAACGTTAGCAAGTCGATCAAAGGTGTGATGTAGTCGCTCAATGCCTGGTTCCAGACATATATCAGCGCATCGTAGAGGCTGTGCTGCTTGCACAGCAGTGTGATCTGGTCCAGGTCCAGCGTCATAGTGTCCATGTGAACGATAATCTCCTCGAGACGACTCTCCCATCCTTTGGTGACGTAGTATGTCACCACGGCCTTCACAACAGCAGGTGGCACGATGGTGATGTTCTTTTCGAGAATATAGGGCTCCATGGTTTCGAAGAAGATGCCCTCCACACCGGCGTCCTCGTACCACTCGTACATCTCTTCGAAGAGGAAATCGACGTCGCCCACATTATGACAGGCAGTGAAGCACGTCTCACAGAGCTCCCGCACATGGTTGTCATCGGCTGCTGATCTGTCCTTTTGCCGCTGTGTAAATGCGTATTTGAGTGACGCTTTCATAATCTCCATGAGCTTGTCGCGAACCATCGAGTGCCGCAGCGAGGTGTCTTCAGGTAACCCAATCGTAAGCTTGTCTGCATCACCAGTGTAGTACGATGTGCCAAGCTGTATTGCGCCGACATAATCACCATTCTCCATAAGAGCAATGATTCGATCAGCCCAGTTCGATAGCGACCCGATGGAGACATCGTTGAACCCAAGCAGGAATATCTTGCCCTTGTACGTCTTTAAGCTCATGTAAAACGCGTCAGCCACAACACCATGCAGAGACGTATCGTCCTCGTCCAGCTGCTCCACTAGGGTGTGTAGTTGCTTTGAAAAGAGGTCGGCATGGTATATGAACTTGTTGATCAAATCGAAGCCTTCCGTCTGTCGCATTGTTCGGTCCTCGAGCACAATCAAGCGCTGTGAGATTGTGAGGACAGTGAGTACCGAGCGACTGAGCCACTGCACCGCGACAATGGCCTCTTCGCACTTCCACCTGCTCCGTGCCTTAAACTTGAGCGTTGGTGGTTTGTCCTTGTTCTCAGCCGGTACCTCGTCAACGTCTAGAACAGTCAAGACATTGGACCAGCAGTACACCAGTTTGACCTTGGAAATATCGCTTCCTGTGACTGCATCCGGAACCTGAAGCTTCACGGCGGGGAACCACGCCAGGCAGCCGGTCATGGCGCTATGGTGAGCGACGTCCTTCGGCCTCGCCGACTTGTGTTGGGTTTGCGCAACGGGTGTCGTGGACACGATGACCAGTAGATAAGGTGTGAGCATTGCCGTGAGGCCCATAGTGTCTGTTGCGCGCTCAGTGTTGCCAAGGGGCAAGGGACTGAATGCCAGGACCGTGCTAGGCTTGAGAGGCTTGCCGGTTGGAGGAGCAGCGTTGGGATATCTTCCTAGTATCCTCGTCGTCTTCACGGTTCGGCCAAGAGATCCTGTACCTCTCGTTGCCAGGTGCGAGAACGCCATGCCACGGTCGTCCGCCGACACCAGCGCGGTGTGCCTTGTTCCGAGGAAGCCGAGATGGGTCACGGCAACCCCTGGCAGGTGTCCATCCACGGTCCGGTTCTGTAGTTGCGGCTGTTCAAGGTGCGGTATGGAAAGGAACGGCCTGGATGCTCGGTTCGCCTCCCAAGTGAAGATGTTTCCGTTTGCATGGCCTCCGGCAATCGTGGTATGGTCGGCCGAAACTGCAATGGCGGTGATGGCGCCCGACTCAACCGCCTTGGTCCCCGGGCCGATAATGGTCTTTAAGACCTGGTTGTAATCAAACATTAATATTATACCCTTCGTGGTCCCCAGAACGATCGAGGCGGAGACAGCAATGCATGTTGGGGCGCCAAAGTTGCGCTTGCCAGCCTCGGAAAAGGCCTGGCCGTTGAGTTTCTTCAACCTCGTCCATCGTACAACTTCCCATGGCGGAGATGGGGTGTCGGTGTTGTCGCGGTCTAGTAGATTTGAACTAAGGGAAGCAGAGCGGCTGTGGCCGGTGAGAAAGCCAGGGGAGGAGGGTCGCGGGCTGTGAATGAAGCTTGCGGAGGAGATGCGGGACTGGAAGCGGCGGTCGAAGGGTCGGAATGAGGGGGTGGGACTGCTGAGGCCGGGTCGGGAGGCCACAGAGGGAAGGACGCTACTGCTCGGAGACGAGATCACGGAGCCCTGAACACACAAGGTTAGTTGGGGCGCATTCGGATGCTGCGAAGCTGTACTTGCCTGAATCGAAGGGGAATCGTCAGGAACCGACATCAGGGAATCAATCGGACTCCCAACCCTTTTGGGAACGGCATCCACGGAGCCCTCGTCGGACACATTGTCGGCTTGCTCGCGCAAGATCTCCCTATATCGATTCGGAAGTGCGCCACTCTCGGTCGCTGGTGGTGTGCTGCTGGACGTCTGGGTTTCATCGTCCAAAAGGCCGACGATGCCATCTTCCTCCCTCTCGGCCTTCACGGTCTCTTCATCACTGGAAGCTTGTATGTCCTCGGAGGACCGGTCGTCTTGATCTGCCATTGTGTCTCCAGGTCCATCATCTCTCTCCTTCGATGGTGGGGTCATCAATGGCGGTTCATCAGGCACATCGCTTGCGGTCGCAGGTTAGAGAGTTCGTTTTGGATTCGGAAGCGTGATAAGTGCTTTGGGGAAGGGAGGATTGGTAGAAGAAGTTGGGTCAATTAGGCTCGGAGCTGAAGATGACAAAAGCTCATGAATGAAGTTGTGTTCTCTGGCGATGCGATCCCACTATCACAGCTCCTATCGGACGAAGATGAGCTGTTGATCAATGGTTGTTTCGTTATCTTCTGAAAGAGGCGCATTACGCAGCTTGGACACCACAGCCCACACTAATCGGGCACCTTGCAGTTCCAGGTTCTAGGTTCCTGCCGCCTAGAGCTCCAACACGGACCGGGGTTTCTCCGGCGGGCCGTGAACTACGCTATCAGCTAACGGATAGGTACGGACAGGCAGGTACCTCATGCCAGGTTCGCTCTGCTCCTTGCATCCACTTCCCCAGACTCCCATTGCGACGACTTGTTTACTCCCAACACAGCCCATACCGGAGAAGAACCGCAGGCCAGAAGCTTCACCACTTCCAGTGTGCAAACAGAAATATTTCATCATGTCTTCAATTGGCCCACAAATGCCACCGCATCTCACAAAGAGAAAGCGGACTCCGGATGAACACGGCGCAGACTCACCACCAACAAAACACACGCGCAACAACACCGACGAAATCGACCTCGACGATGACGATTCCGACGACGCCTACGGGCCGACCGCGCCAAGCGCACCGGCAGCACCTAAGAACCCCACCCCATCATCGAAGCCCTCAATCGGGCCAACCCTCCCACCACCAAACCCAACAAACTCGAGCGAAATCCCTCTCGATGATTCCGACTCCGAAGACGGCTACGGCCCAACAGCACCTCGCGTATCAGCATCAAACCAAGAAGCCCCCAAGACCAAGCCCTCAATAGGCCCGACTCTCCCCCCAAAACAAGCCATAGGTCCCGCCATGCCACCACCAGACCACCGCCCTTCCGCCCCAGACTCGGCCTCGGACTCGGACTCAGACGACGATGACTACGGCCCAGCCCTCCCCTCCTCAACAACATCCGTCCAACGAGCCCAAGCCGCCGCCGCAGAAGCAGCAGCAGCAATAGCATCACAAGGCCCCGCGGCACCCCAGCGCGACGACTGGATGCTCGCGCCGCCCACGCAGTCCGGCTACCAAGAACGCGACCCAACAAAACTCAAGAACCGCAAATTTGCCAGCGGGAAATCCTCCGCCGCTGCGGGAGGCGGAGGCGGAGGTATCAGCAGCATATGGACCGAAACCCCAGAACAAAAGCGCAAACGCCTCGAGGACGCGGTCCTCGGCCGCGGTGATCCGACACAAGCAGGCAACGAAAAGAACCAGCAGCCGCGCCGGACAAAAGAGGAAGTGGAGCGGGAGAGACGCATCAGCGAGAACATCGCGAGTGCGCGGGGCAAAAGCATGTACGAGGAGCATCGGCAGAATAAGAAACACAGCGGGAAGCCTGCTGAGGAGGAGGAAGACGACCCGAGCAAGAGGGCTTTCGACAGAGAAAAGGACATGTCCCTGGGAGGCAAGATTGGGACAGCGCAAAGGAGAGAGCTGCTCAACAAAGCCAAAGACTTTGGTGGCCGTTTCCAGAAGGGATCATATCTTTGATTGTGATCTTCCAGCATATACGAAAAAACTCACATTATAGTTTCTGGGTCTTGCTATGGACAGGCAAACAGGGATATTCCAAATGAGCCTCAGTACCTCAAGGTTGCTCAAACACCCTTTTTCGGGGCGATGCATTTGTCACTATTGAATAATCCACTTCATCCGACATCTTTTCAACAATATTCCGATGTAAGCCACGGGCTTAAATCTATAACGTCACGTATATTCACAGTCACATCATATGTTATGGTTAACGAGTGAGTTGGTACGTTAACTTTGATTGTCATTATTCCGTGACGAGTGGTGCCTTTATCGCCGCAACTCCGCCGCTCCCCTTGTAATTCCAGAGAAACCAAACCAAAACAGGTCACCCTGTGCCTGTAATGCAAACCTGCCTCTGCCGCAGCGCGGCCTGATCCACCACCCTCCTCGTTGGCCCATGTGGCCTAATCCCGCTGCGTCTGTATGTAAAGTATGGGTATGAAAAGCGGGTTCGTGTTGCATATATAATGCAGTAAAACATCGCAGGTTTATGCTGAGATCTGCAAATTGGTCTCGGGGGTATGATGTACACGAGTAGCACAACAATAAAAACAAAATCGCGTTCGCCTTAGTAGGTGATACAATCATCTAGAAGACGGTCACCGTGCCTCAGTCATGGCGGTGGTGGTGCTTGCGGTTGGTGCAGTCTGCGTACCAGCCTCCAATTGGGACGGTGTCACATTAGCACCAGTTGCCGTCGGGGATGGCGTTTGCTGATCGCCGCCGCGTCGGAGGGGGTTGCGGAAGGCAGGCAGCCTAATGTTGGAGAGGAGTCCACGAGATTCCTGGTTCTCCGCAGTAGTAGGCGAGGCTTGCGAAGTGTTTTGGTTTGAAGCAGGCGCAGCCTGTTGACGAGTACGAGGACGGCGGTCCGATCGGTTGTTGCCCCGACGGTTGCTATTGTTTCGTCCTCCCAGGCCAAATCGTGCGCCGCTCAAGTTATACCAGGCAGCCGGAGGAGCATTAGGCATGTTGGTACGAGACGCCGTGCGAGCCATATCGCCTGTGGCGTTAGGGTCTCCTTCGCCAGGGGTTGGTCGGGGCTTGGGGGTGTAGTAGTCGGCCTTGCACAAGGGGCAGCAAGCCCTTCGGCTGGTGAGCCAAGGATCGACACAAACAGCGTGGAAAGCGTGACCACATGTGAGTCCGCGAATGTCATCATCATCCTCGAGTGTGTCAATGCAGATAGCACAAGTGTCACCACTGGTCGCCATCAGCTCAGGGGGGACAGCGGCATTGATGTGTTCGTCGTCTTCGTCCTCCTCCTCACTGTGAACACGCTGAAGATGAGTGGCAGAAGTCGGGGTGGTCTGAGTAGTATCGGCGTTGGCAGTCGCGGTCGAGGTGTCTCCATCCTTCTTCGCCGCATCTTCGGCAGGTTTCTCGACAACGGCTTTGTTCCCGGCGGCGGTAGCGGGGCGATCTTCGATCGACTCACGCTCCTTTGAGGGCAGCTCAGGTACAATTCCATCAACAGATCGGAGACTGTTTGCCCGACTGGGCGGCGCAGAGACACCTCCGGCGGTAGGCAGGCCCTCTCGTGCACGCTCAGATACCCACGTCTTGTACTTGGTCATGGGGAATTTGTCGTTGACCTCATCCATCGTCATCAACTTCTTTTCGCGGCGCCGGCGATGCGGGCGAGGCATGTTCTCCAAGTTGATGGGCTCGCCATCTTCGTTGAGACGCATAGCACGATTACGAGCATTGTACCGGAAGCAGTACTTGACGCCAACGATGATCCTAGAAACGGAGTTAGATGAATATTGCACGAGAAAAGTCAAGTCTCAAGCAGGCTAACCATAAGTTCGTAAAGACTACTCCAAAGCCCAGGGCGACGAAGAAGAGCAGAGGAGAGCTCGTAGAACCGCCGCCGCTGCCCCCTCCTCCTCCATTGCCCGAATTGCCGGTAGACGTCGGATTGTCGGTCGTCGTTGGAGTTGCACTCGTGGCATCATTGAGAGTCGACGTAGGGTCGGTACTGGATGGTGCGAAAGATGTGGCGGAGCCCGAAGCCGAAGAGAGAACCTGCCGCACCACGAGGTGGGAGACCTCGACGAACACCTGGTCGATGGCAGGCATTTTGACGGCGATCTAGATGTCGGAATCCAAGTCCTGGCCGTTGAAAAGTCGAACACCGTTGGGAGGTGATGCCGAAAGAAAACTCACGGTCGGGAGAGAGTCGAGTTCATGGAGTTGAGAGATGGGTGTGGTCAGGTAGAAGGACTGCCTTGATTTGAAACCGGGAAGCCGAAAACAGCGATAGTGGACGGAAATGGTCGACCTGAACCCCCCGTTCGCATGCGGCGTGCAATCGATACAATCCGATGCGATAAAGAAGACTCCCTCTTTGGAAATATTTCTTCCGTCTGAATACCAGTCGTGATTCCAATCTACTCTCAAGCCGTAGGAGGCGTGGTGAGTAGAGCGAATTGAAACAAGAGGAGAATCACGACACGATGTCGGATGGTGGTTGGGGAAGGTTGATAAAAGCAGGCAAGAGAGTGCGGAGGGAGGGAAAGTGCAGGTGGAGTGGGATAAGTATGGAACAGGACATGGAACTCTGACGGACAGGAAGAGCGTAACACAGCCCGGTCGCAGCGAAAAGAGTGGAGAAGCACAAGGCGATGGGCGGGTAAGTGCGAAGGAGGAGGAGGAGGAAGGACCCAGCCGAGACAAGACACATCAGACACCAAGGACCAACCCGAGCGAGTGTGGCAGAGACGTACCCAAGTACCCCGTACTTATCCAGCCTAAAAGTGCAAGAAGGCACGAAAGAGGTAGGCACAGAAAGCGAAAGGAAAGACTGGGGAAGAGCGATAGAACGGAGAAGCGGCCTGCAAGATGGGATTGGACAGGGTGTGAGTTAGCCCGCGCCAGGATTGTATGCAAGGAGGTGGAGGTGCTGAGAAACCGGGTCTTCTTTGTGGTGTTGGTAGCCTGGCACCCGGCCTGGATGAAAAGGATGTTGGCTGGCCTCACACTGTGTCACTGCGATGCCTCAGACAATTAGCATTTTCCAATCTGTGCTGGTGCACACACACCTCAAGCTAGGTAGGGGGTCGAGAGGGTGTCATGGAGACGGGCAACGAGAAGTGAGCATACCTTACACAGTAGTACGGATAGAATACCTAGTGCCTCGTAGGTACCGAGACAGCACAGACATCCACCATGGATGGAAGCGCTGCCATTTGAAAGTATTTGACTGCATCTCGTAGGTGACTGAGATGGACGCTCACGGGTCTGAGCGAGCAGTCAAAGGGACTCAGGGCCATCAATTGTTGCAAGTCACCTCGTTTCCAGCTCATCCAGCTTGTAGGATGCCCGATCTAGTCCGTTTCGGGAAAAAGGGCGCCACGCCAGAGACAATGTGAGTGATGGGACTCGATCCTCGGACAGCCCACCATCCTCATTTAGGACTAGTGTCGCCTCTCGCTCAAGTGCTCACATATTGCCTTACTGCGGAAGTGGGTTGCTCTCATAAATTGCCATGGTTGAACGGGGCCTTGGCTGGGGAACCGGTAAAGAACCGGCGGGGAATTTGAGTATATGGCCTGCTTGTATCCGTATAATGCAAAGACAAGTGTATTGTTCTCAAGGTCAGAACTGCAGAAGCAGGCGTCGAACAACTAGGTAAGGTTGGCCAGATTGTCTCTCTTCCCATTGCTACATACTGATTGATGTATACCACAGTGAGTGACTGGCTGGGCCACCGCCATACACAGTAGTGCTTGGCTTTAGCGTCGCTGGTCTATCCCCCCCTACTACTCCGTAGGTAACGGACCATCTGAGGTACTCCGTACACCACATCAAAGCTCAAGCGCCGCTTCCCGTGATGAACAATCCAATTCTCCTATTCATCTCGGCCAACCCGTTGGTTCTTTGTCGTTGTTCCCTCTGCCGTCATGAGGTTGATACCGGTACTGCAAATCGCACCCTATCGGATTTCATCTACCCCTATCCTAGGTAGAGAAATCTCGCGTCGAATCAAGGGGCGCAGCATGATGCTGATCTGACACGCAAGGTACCGTATACCATCGCCGCACTGCTACGGGCTGTCGTCGGTGAAGGTAGTACCTACCTCGCATCAAGGCGCCTGAAATTCCAAAGAAACTGCCCGTCGCGCCCGCACAACCTGCACCGCAACATCAAGTCACGAACACCAACACCGGTCGGGCCTGCTGACACTGCTTCCAAAGAAGAAGGGGCTTCTATCCCTTGCTGATATCACGTCGGATAAACCATCCGTGCTCTCAGCTTCCATTTCGCCCACTTTCCCGTTCATGATTTGAATTCCAGCATCAACTTCTCCAGTGCCTCGGCAAATCACCATTTCTCGGTTTTCCAAGTGGCATGGGCAATGAACAGCCGACCATGCAAGATGCCGTGCTCTTTGTTCTCCTTTGTCTTTGCAAACAAGCCAAATCCCGCACCGCTACGGCCGGGTACTAGGCTACCGGTCAGCTTAGCCCGCGGTGCGCATCGTCAACGCCAGCCGCCCTCCGGCGGCCCAGGCCGATGCTCTGGCGATGCCTCCAAAAGAAAGCAGGGTATGTATGCTGTGGGGATGCGGCGTCGGATGGGAGAAGGAAAAGGCCACGACACCATGCGGCGGCAGCCCAGCGGAGAGTCGTAGCGGCAGAAGCAAGCACCAAGCGGCTTACGCCAGAAGCAAAGTCGACAAGGGTGAGAGTGGAATACGACTGCTCGGTTGTTTCGTCCCTCGCCAAATGATCGCCCGAGTCCAACTGTCTGGAGCCGCGTGTCTGAGAGTTTGATGTCTCTTTCACGATCATACCTCCTGGAACCGAACGGCCAACATTATTACTGGGCCTGACATTGAAACGGAAAGGCATACGAACAGCAGGCACCTAGATGGACATCTCTCAGGACCAATGCAACCTACGATTATCAGCCGCCTTTTCAGCCAGGCAAACCAGGGTTCCCAACATCTGTCGGAATTACTATGCTTTCTTTTCGAAGCCATGGCGCATTACTCTGTCGCTTCATCCTTGTCCTCACGAACGGGTTTCCAACTTAGAGTGCTTTGGTTTTCCCAGCCCCGGACATCGCGCACTTGGATCCATGCCACCGAGTCAAGCCAGTGTCAGACGAGCCATCGGATTGTACAATATCGGAGTTGAGTGCCTTGCAGATGGGAACAACCGAGCACGCCATCACGAATCCCGTCTGTATCTCGTTTCTGACGTCCTACTGTGTAATAAGAGTGCGTAGGGCAACGCGGCACCGATTCGAGGTACGGCTACCCCGGCCCGGGAGAAGCAACATGCGAAGTACCAAGCAAGCCTTCGAATCTTCAACACCAGCATCAACAAGTTACCCATGGCACATCCCGCATAAGTGCATGGGAGGAAGAAAGAGAAAAAAGAAGCACAACACGCACATATCCGTCCAATACGACGAAAAGCAATAACTCAATCAACTGGCACGGAATACGACGTCCATACTGTGCCTCGTCTGGAATACGTCTCAACATCTCAGACATGATCATTAACAGAACCTGCATCTCAACGCTGCGCTTCGACGAGATGGACGGTCTGAAGCTCGCGAGGGCAATTAATAATAGCTACGACCTATTGTTCATGGCGAGCAACAGCATGCTGGCTGGCTACCGCTGCACGCGCTGCAACCACTCGAAAATTCAGATGGTCACCTTCGGAACGCTAGGGCCGACGAGCAATTGATTTCACCCCATCTTCTCAATGTTTCAGCATCACAGACAAAGACGACGCTTTTTTGCCACGACGACTCTATCGGCAGTGTGTGCTTGCTTGATTCAATCGTTTGTCAGTGAGTCATCCTCCTAACACAGTCGAATTGACTCCTCGGACCCTACCGCCGGCATTTCGAAAAGATGCACTTACTCGGCCACGTCTAATCGTTGTCAGTGCCACCTCAGCCAGTCCGAGCACTAGACCGCTGCTTTGGCAGTCGGTATCCCCCAGGGTGCCAGGCCAAGACGTCAGACATGAAAGCGCAATGGCACTTCTAGAGTATCCGTAGTGCTCTAGCAACACGACACACGTATGTCTCAAAACATCTTATCAGATGCCAGAACACGAACAACCTTACGATTCTTTGTCCAGTGAACGGCTCTCTTGGACACTGCTGTGTCTTGCTCCGTCTCAACCCCCCAAGCCCCTGGAAACGCTCAGACGCCAACCCGGGAAAGCTTGATCTCATTTGGGATCACTGCTGTTCCTGGGGACGCCCGACTATCGAAGTCAATGTTACGAGGGCTTGCCTCAGTACTTTGTGTGACTATCATGGAAGCGTTCAATTTCGAGAATGTGTTTACTGGCATGGTCATCAATCATCATTAGGATATCAGAATCGCAACCAAACTACGACTTCGCTCTTTCGAAGCTGTGTCAAGCTGTCTCAACTGGCGAAATACGCGCAAAGACAAGCCGATTGATCCGTGACTAACAACGCAACAGTATGAAGAAATAGTCTTTTCACAGTGCGTCTGGGGAGACTGGCCCGCTCCAATGGGGGGGGGGGGGGGGCTGCTTCGACTAATGACGCTGACCGAAGGTGAGTGCCGTCAAATCCGGACACACCAACTTATCCCCGCCGTTGATGACGGCGACAAGAATGGCTTGGCTCCCGCTCGCCTGTCTTCGTCTGCAGAGTACGGAGTACCTTGACACCAACCTTTCTGGGCTTTACGCCTGCGTCAATAATTCAAGCATACGACGAAGTGTGGTAGCTTTATCATTGAAGATGTTTGCGCCCCAAATTGCAGCAAAACGCCCGCTTTGCTAGCAGGCCCATGAATCAATTCATGATTCACTGAAAGACGATGCAACCAGTTTTGTGCGCCCAAGAGGAAAATACCATCATATTCATCGGATTGCCTTGGCCGCCGGCAACAACCACGCCATAACCTCACGCGTCCGGGTCTTGCGGATTTCGAGGTTCGACCCCGGAGCCTCTCGGAGCCGCACGTCTAGGTCTATCTTTACAAGCCATCTGACCAATTTTTCCTCTTGCCGCATTTTTGGCGCCAACGAAAACATTAATTTATCGACTCGGCCTGGTTTGGAGTAGGCGGCATGAGTTGTCTTGTCACTCTGCCGTCGTGGTGTCAGGCCACAATTCTCGCGGGGGCCATATGCTTATCTTCGCCGCGCAGGAATGAGGATATGCTTCTGTCATCAAGGCCATCATCGATTTGACTTTAATCCCCGGAAATCAGCTGGCGCAGGGCTGTGCAGACGCGCCATGGAACGTTGAAAGAAGACTTGCCGATTCCAAATTGAATTCCACGCCTCCAATATCGCCCAGTCGCCCCCAACCACTACCGAATATCGGCATTCAAGATATTATTTGGTGTTCGTATGCGGTGTGCCTACGAAGTACCTAGCTACAATCTACAACTGCGATACTCCGCTATTTGGCACCGCACTATGGTTCCGTATGTATAGACTCGTATCGTAGACGACCTGTCAGCGGGCCATGCGTGAATCAGGTGGAGGGAACCAACCGCGCCCGAAACAAAACATACAGGCCCCCAATGTGTGAGGCCCCTCGAGAGTCTGAAAGTCGAAAAGTCCTATTTTCGCGAATCACGACAGGACTCGCGCCCACTATTGAATCGCCAGCAGTCCATGAGATCATTTTCTATGGAACGGACAGGCTTCTTTGTCATCCGAGCCGGCTTCCTCTTCATCAGCTCCACCCTGCTCTGGTGCTGTCGATCTTCTACGCCGCGCCATCCGGGGGGGGGGGGGGGGGGGGGGATCTGGAACTTTTTTTGCCTATGAGCTTGCTGGCTCGCGATAACGGCGGTGCGGCAGACACACCACGGCAGCACAGCAATGAGGAAAGCCGTCTTTGATGGACTTAATTTTAACGCAAGCCTGCCAGACGCTTCAATTCGTTCCCGTCGATCAGCTCGACTTCCGGCGAGCAACTCAACTTCCCCCAACCGTCCACGGCGGGAACCCAAGTGCCTGGTAGGCTGGTAGTGTTCCGAGCATTCTAGACTCCCCACGCTCGTCGTGATGCTGGATATGTGCGCGATGGCTGGCGCCGCGGGAAACTGGGAGAGGGGTAACGATTCTCCCCAGACCGTCAAAGTTGGTGTTCTCATCCCCTCCGGCGGGCCCCAGCCTCAGCCAAGAGAGGCTGGGCATTTGGCAAAGCAGACTACTATGTTAAACCCGAATTCCGTGACGCGGCCTTCTGCATTCGGGACCCTTGGAGTACGGGTACGGGGGCTTCTCCTCACTTTCAACCCCGGGCTTCAGCTGCAGCTGCAGCCAAAAGACGCGGGGTTCTCTGCGCGATGTTCGCTCCGATTCGAGAGGATCTCTGGGCGCGGAGGGTTATGTAAGATGTAAGGTAAAGGCCGCAGACCGAGGAGAAAACCATGCTACGGATACAGATACACGGCTTGCGTGGGGCCGCGGCAACCATCCACGAGTTTAGGATTCATCAGACTCGACACCGGGGCAGCGTTCAAGCGGACGAGAACATCGGTTCCTGAAGATCAATGAACAACTGGTCGCGAACTTCCATTTCCCCCTTTTGACCGTTGAAGATCTAATTACTAGAGGAACTGTGAACATGAATGCTGAACGCCCAGGTAGCGCATTGTGGCTGATCTATTGTTTCAAGTGCGACAACATCAAGCTTTTTCTCCCTATATTTCTTTTAGTCGAAGAAGCTTAATAAATTGTTCTTTTTTCCTCCCTCCCTCTACTTTCCCAATGGAAACGTAGCGCACGAACTCACGAGGGATTCGCACGGCGAACCCTTTTTTGCCTTCTTGTCTCGCGTGCCCTTGCCAGGTACGGATTACCGAAGGCGGACCTGAGTCAAGTTCCCTCCCGGGGGTCCCTGTCGTCCATGAATCCGTGGCCGCGCGGGTCTTTTTTTCCTCTTGATTCTTTTTTTTCGGTTCCCCTTTGCTACGTAGGTACGGAGTGGCTTGACACACTTGACAGCGGACAGCCCCCCGGGGGTACTATATCTTCGGCGAACCCCGGCCTCGGCACGGACGACGGCCGATCGGGGGACGGTCCATCCGAGAATTCTACCGGTCCCGGGGGTATGTTTCGTTGAGAAAGCACCGGGAGGTTAACATCTCCTTCCCAAAAGCCCACTTTCTTCTCCATCTGGATACCGACGATGGGAAGAGAGGCAATTGGCCGGTTTGCCTCGTTCTCCCGCTTCTTCTGGTGGGATGACCGGCCCCGTCGGGTTCTGCTGCATGCCGTCCCGGCATTTCTCAGATGTAAAGCTCCCAGTGAGTCGGAGGATGAATTTGACGCAGGCAGACTTCGCCGGACCGGTTTGCTCCATCTTTTGGCTGAACGGGGCCGATGTTCCTGATCGAGCGCGGTTTTGACGGTTGCGAAGAGTACTGGCGATGAGGCGACGACAAGCTTAGACCGGCATGGGCCGCCTGCCGGGTGAAGAGGATTTAGGCCTGACGTCGGCTGTTCACTTCTCGATCCTGAGAGTTTTGGTTAAGTATGCCTTGGACTATAGGGGGCTTGGTGCCTGGTTCATGAGCGTATCAGCTGGTGAGATGGTTCTGTGCCATTTACTACGTTCCTATGAGAATGGTTTCAACGTGGACATCGAGCTCTGGGTTTTTGCCGCTCAAGACAGTGATGGAGAGAAAGCCGTTTAAATCTCAGTGTATAGCTAGGTAAGTCGTCGGTTCGCTAGATTACCTGTGTTCACTTCATCGATAAGGGGGGAAGCCAAACTTCTCTGGGTTACAGCTTGAGAGCATGCGGGATATAATCTCCATCAGGCAATGAGCTTTTGACGTGATGATGTTGGCATCAAGAGGTTAACGATCCTTTGCGAGTTATCTGTTCATCTTACAGCATACAATGCAAGGATCATATCCAGCACATCACTGATAGTTTGACTATTCTTCCTCGTGTTCCTTAAGTCTTCTGGGTTCGACTCGGGTCCCTGACAATGCTGACGATGGCTCCTAACAGAGGGCGGATGGAATCCCTGGCGGCACGGGAGACTCGTCCGCTCTCTGTATGATACTATTCTTCCGCTCTTCTAATGGATGTGAAAAAAGAGGCCTATCAAGAAAAGACTGTATCTTAACCCTTGCTACTTACTGTGACGAAAGTTCGCCAGCATCCAAGTAGAGTTGATGACTTTATTCACCCTCACCTCCATGTCTTCAAGTACGGTTAGTCGTATTGCAAGCTCGCCATGCTTTCCCAGAATATCGCAGGGCAGCAACGTCACGCCTTTGAAGAGACTGCTCAGCGTTGTGACCATCGACCACAGGGGCCAAGAGAGCATCTCACAGCGCTACGACAAGGGATACATCCAACTGGATATACCTCCAGCCCCATCATCTTTGACGCACTGAACAAGTCCATCGATAATCAGTAACCCCTGTGCTTCCATGTTAACCGATCAAGCGGGAAGGCCCTGGCCCGCTGATATGGGCAGATCCGTGACGCATGTAGGGTCCTCGTGTCAAGGAGTACTTGGGTGGTTTGCGAGAAGCCGAAGGGTCCTATATATATATGCCTTGCTTGTACGGTGGACTCGTCTTAGAATCAACACCTACAGCAAATGGAAGATGGTACTTTGGAAACAATTCAGCGTTCTGTTTCTGTTGGATTAACGTAACAAGAGAGTACATTCATAGATTACGTTGCATACATGACGCTCAGCTTGTCCCGCATGTCGATCGAGGCACAGTCTATCGTTGAAGAGTCCATGAAGACGGGCCGGAAGCGTTGTATGCCGTCACGCACATCTACATACAACACGATGAACAAACGATACGCGTAAAGAGGGACAAGTGGCGGGGAGTTCGGATTCAGTGTGGCTTGTAGGTTGCTGCACTTGAGGGATTTTGCCTGCAACCCGATGCCCGGGGGGCCAAGGAAAGCCTCGTTTTGGCCCTGCATGTCGCTGACAATCCATCCAGTCGCCCGGGTGAGCTGGACACGTAAAGATGAGGTGCCAAGGTAGGAGAAGTAAAGTAGCGCTCGCTCGTTGGCGGAGTTCTCCTCCAAAAAAGAAGTTGAGTTCTGCCCGGGTTCCGACAATTCGGCTCAGGTGCGTGCGTTTTGTCCTCCGCACTTTCGACGGGCTGGGCGGCCCCACCAAGGTGCAGGAGAGGTGCGGGCCTGCGAATCCTCGGCGTGAATGGACAGCCACACCACATCAGGGCATGCAAATCGAGAAGTTTCCCGTAATCCATAATTCTGGGATATCGAACGAACCCGTCCACCGCCTGTTTCTCAACAAACCCCCGCCTTTCAACGCAGCCCACCACCCCGCCGGCGCTCACGGAAGAGAAACAATTGCACTGGCTATTTTTCCGTTTGTTTCCCTATTCCCCGTTCCCATACGACCGACCTACACGGCTAGATTACCACCCCCCCAGCCATGCCTCCCACGAAGCTCCCGGAATCCGGCAACGCGCTGTAAGTCTAAGTCTATTCCTCTCTGTACATCCCCAAGAGTCCCTACCCGCGCGCGCGGCATTCTCGGTGGATATCCAAATCCGTCTCTCGCTCCCATCCCACTCACGCCTCGCCGTGTCTTTCACCGCTTCCCACCAACACCCGGCCTAGATTCTGAGAGGGGAGGTGCTGCAGTCATCTCGAAGCCGGTGGCGGTGGCTGAGCACTCGGCATCCACACCCTCCTCAACAGCCTCTTGGATCTTCCATGATAGTGGTGGGAAAGCAGCAACACCTAGGTACTGCCATGCGGACGGGGGGAAACGGGAGTTGGTGGCAGTCCATTACTCCCGAGAGCGATCTAGTCTTTACCCTTTTCTGATTTTGAGTTGTACAGGAAGGTGAGCTAACACAGAAGTCTGCGTCAATAGGGTCTTTTTCGACATCACGCTTGGTGGTATGTATCAATCCATTCGCCATCGGGGCTCAACTTTTCCTCATGTCTTGGCCGGGTGCTTCGGGGAACGGAACCTCTGGACTGGTACACATCGTCCTGGGCCCCTTGAAGTCTTGGGGGCCACGAAGCTATTCGCAGGTCTGGTGCACGTGTGCATATGCCGAGAGAGACGGGTCTTCGCAAGGTTCCGCCTTACAGGCTGGGCACTCTCGTCCACGAACGAGCTGGGTTGTCTTCGTCCAGAGGTGTCCGGGGTCTTGGAACTGTCTCCTAGGCCACAGAGATGCTACCGTCGGCGGTCGAACATGACGGCTCAGTAATCCCGGCTCCGAGGCTGCGAACTTCTGGCGTGCTTCGGCTCTCCGGTGTGACCATCTCTCGGTCTGCGATTTTGCCCGGCTCCTTTTCCAAAGCCCCAAAGTCTGGAAATACGCCTTTGCTGTCCATCGTCCACTGCATCGTCTCTAACGCTTCTTCGGTTTTCCTGCAGGTGAGCCTCTCGGCCGCATCACATTCGAGCTCTTTAAGGATGTCGTCCCCAAGACGGCCGAGAACTTTCGCCAGTTCTGCACCGGCGAGTCCAAGGATGCCCGAGGTCGTCCGCAGGGCTACAAGGCCTCCAAGTTCCACCGCATTGTGAGTAATCTCTGTCTTTAGACATCCAGAAATCTTACCCACCCGGGAACTAAGAGTTGAAGAAGAAGCTGGGGTGAAGATGCGTCTGACGGTGACACGGCTGATGAACAATGTCTTACAGATCCAAGGCTTCATGTGCCAGGGCGGCGACTTCCTGAACGGCGACGGTACCGGCTCGGTATGCATCTACGGCACCTCCAAGTTCGCCGATGAGAACTTCAACTTGAAGCATGAGCAGCCTGGTCTGCTCTCCATGGCTGTACGTCAAAGAATCCTTCTTCTTGTCATCCTGGCATTAAATTTCTTATGTTTCCTCTGACCACGCTACAATGTGACGGCGTGGTCGATAATGATGCCAGACTAACATGCCATCTGACAGAACGCCGGCCCCGACACAAACGGCTCCCAGTTCTTCATCACCACCGTCCCGACGCCCTTCCTGGACAACAAACACGTCGTCTTTGGCAAGGTCGTCGACGGCATGGACGTTGTCAAGATGATGGAGGCTACTAAGACGGGTTACCGCGGCAAGGACCAGCCAAACCAGGACGTTGTTATCGCGCAGTGCGGTGAGATGTGAGGTTGGCCTTGGTTGCTCGGGCCATGAAGTGATGAGCTACGGGGCGGACGAGCAGGGACGTGTTGTTTGGATGGCCCTTACTGCCGCCTTGTGAGGCTGGAGCATCAGAACATACATTCTAGCCCACGATATATGGATTCTGAAGTGAGAGGAGCTCCGGTATTCGAGGTGGGAGAGAAGATAATGGTAACTTATACCGCTCGTTGTGTTGTCATATTCATGTAGCACGTTGGCTTGATCTGGTCCAAGGACGCAAACCCCTGTAGTCAATGAGAAACGTCTCATGTCGTGGATACTTGAAAGCGTACCCCTCGCCATCAACTTATTTTGGGGTCACACTAGATTATCCTTCGTCTCCTTTCTCCTCAAGAGAGAAGACCACAATTGCCCATGACTTCATACTATCGATGACACCGCCGATCAGAGGCTACTAAAGACGAGCCTTTTGCTCAGCCTCTCTGGGTATCTAGATGTTCGAACATGATGGCTAGCCCTGTCATCGCCTTGAGTACCCAACAAACGCGTCGGGTAGGAATAGGGGGGTAGAGGGGCTGGAGTGAAGGCTGAGTGACATGTTATCATGCATGCCCGGTACTATAGACAACCATATCCTGACTATGGTGTTTACGAATTAGACAATACTAACCATATCATTATCGCAAAACTTCGGTGATCATTTTGCGAGGCAGACAGGCGAGAGTGAATTCCTCCCACGTATGTCCAGGTTCGAGTACCTCGGGCTACAGCCGCTGAATGAGGACTTCTATTTCAGACAAGGATGGATGGGATGCCTACCTACCACCCGATAATACTTTCTACAATCATCCAGACCACAACTGGCCAATACAAAAATGCATTGCCATCATCCTCCATCAAGAACTAAGCGACCCAAAAAGTCAAAAGAGTTCACCCCCCCGGTGCTGAACTGGGGGCTACATCTCTTGGTGCTCATGCTGGGATTCGAACTCGGGGGTATGCGCTAAGCCTGTCGTCGAGTAGGCTGGTTGGCGAAATTGATTGTTGGACCATTAACCGTTCCACCATCCACGCCACAGTTTTGACCTGACCCTCGACCTAGAGGGCGCCTGCTGTGCTGGTGACGAGAAGGGAATTGAGGTGACCTATAGACCCTTGATGGGTGGTAGGGCGGTGAGTTGTCCCGTCAAGGTATCGGATGAGAAGGTTTTGTTGTTTTGGGTCGACTTGGGAAGGTGCGATGGGTGGGTGGTGGCTGCCCGGGTAACCGTGGAGGATTTTTGGACAGCCTTGTCTGTACTCTAGCCTCGTGGGCCACTCCTGGACGCTCGTTGGCTGAGTGGATCCACATGGCCTGTTAGTAGTTGACTCTGCTGGAAAACCTATGATGATATCGATCTGCAGGTGCTCGGCCATATGGATTCTTGGTGTATGGGTGTTATGGCTGTTTGGTACCTATCCCAAGCAAGCATGTCACCCATGGCACAGGATACCCATCGGCCATAGATATACGCAGTAATAGTGTCTTCCTATGTGAAAGAAATCTCCATTTATCATGCATCCACCGAACTGGAAAAGCTACTGTTTTTGAACAGGACCCGACCGATGAAAGTGACTGGTCCACATGGAGTGGGTGAGTGGACTGAACAGCATCAGGGTTGGTCAAAGGGGTCAGTCATACAAGGCCACATGATGGCTGTGCTGGAAAAGTCAAGACATGTCACATGCGAGTCACCATGAAGTGCAAAGAAGAAGTGTGTGAACTGGCTTCCATAGTACTACCACCCTCCAGGCGAGCCCTATAGCCTCTGCGTTCCATGACTACTTGTTTTTGTATGTTTGCCTCCCTCCCATCACCCATTCCATAACCCCATTCCTCCAATCCATATCATGTCTCTTAAGTGCAGCGTCGAGCCACCCAACCGGAGAGGGAGACGTAGAATCCGAATGTCGAAACGAGTAGAAAAGGTGTGAGCGATGCCTTGAGAAAAGTGCGAACTGTTTTGGAAGCCCTTCCTCCCATATACCCATGGGTGGAGACTTGAAAACTCTTGGGAGACAAACCCTCCCATGTGACAAAGAAATGGCCTCAGAACATTGAGGCAACCGAAAGAAAGAAGTTGGTATCATCCTTTATCCTCCAACGCCGACCAGAAATGCCATTCCGGTTATATGCCTGGGTCGTCAAGAAAGAAAGAAAAAAAGAAAAAGAAAACCTGCCCCGTCCTGTCCACCTGGGGCGATGCTCAGAAATTCGAAATGTCGACCGTGATACTCCTGTTCATGACCCTTTGTCCAATTCCCGTTGTCGTTGATGCCGGAAAGTTGAAGAGAACATAATGTCTGTAACCGAATGTATGTACTGTATGACTTTGGCGATACCGAAAAGAGAGCCCAAACTCCAAGAGAGTGGTATGGGAATGCTGGGTATTGTTGAAGAATAGCAATGAAAGTAAAGAAAGAAAGAAATTATCGAGCCAGAAAAAGTCGAAGCATGTTGCGCACAGTTGAGCAGACGATGTGTGTTCCTCAAAGTGCTTGTGTGACATGGATCCCCAATAACTTAGTTGCCCTGGCCGAAGTTCCAAGAGTCTCTACCTCTGACATGACGGCCGTGGAGGAAAGGGGTGACGCTAGCCTCAGCAGACTGTTGACCGCTAGTGGGAGTTGGAGCGGGAGTCTGGGCATCGAGGGTGACGGTGAGGAACGAGTACAGAGTCATAGCAGGAGCAGAGACAGTGAGAACTCGAGCCTGGTTGGTGCCCTGGGCGACTCCAGAAGGAACGGTGGGAGTCGGAGTGCCAGTAGCGACCGGAGTGCTGCTCTTAGTACCGTTGGGAGCCGAGTTGACAGGGGCAGCCTGGCCGTCGACGCTGACCAAGAAGGCATTGGCGAGCTGGTCCTTGATGGCATTGAAATTGAAGTCCGTCTTGTCGGGGAACGTGAACGCAGACAGATCGTTGGAGCTGGAAGCAGACTTGATACCAGCCACAAGCTTCTCACCCTGAACCTTGATAGTGGAGCAGCTAGAGTAGAGCTCAGGCACCTCGATATCCTCAGAGGTGGCAGCGCGCTTGTCCTCCGTGAAGCCAACAGGGAAGTCGGCAAACTGGCCATTCGTGGACTTGTCGACGGCATCCGCCTTGAGAGTAGGCCAGGTCCAGACCCAGTAGACGGAGTACTCGGAGTTCTGGGCCAGATCCTCGGGGATCTGGAAGGCTGTCTGGCACCAAATATTGACGCCCATGGGCTGGAGGGCTGCATGCTCAGTGTCTTCCTGACGCTCCTGAGAAATGGGCGAATTGTTGACCTGGTGACACTGGCCATCGTCGTAGTTGCGGGTGGCCAGGAGGCGACCAGTGCCATCGCCACCCTTGCCGTCAGCAGTCCACTGGCGGTGAATGTCGAAGACGCTGGGGTTCGACTTAGGCTGGGAGGTGCCGTAGATGAAGACAGTACCACGGTTGAGGGGCTTTTGTGGAGGCGTGTTCGGTTGAGTGACATGGCCGTTCTCCTGGTAGCGAAGAGAAACGAAGTCGCCAGGAGCAGCAGTCAAGACCGGAAACTCCGGTGGCTGGTTACCGGGCATCGACTGCTGGCAAAGGTCGAAGCCCTTTCCGGGAATGCGCATAGTGTATCGCTCGTCGTTGAAGCCGTTGAGACGACCAGCCCAGCCATTGGAAAAGCCATCAGGACCAACGAGAGTGCCGTTGGCAGCGACGCGGTTGAGCTGCTCAACCCAGGTGTGAGACTCGACCATGGGGACACCGATGATGGCGGCGACAGCCACGGCGAAGGTGTTGATGCGAACCATGGTGGACGCTTGGGGGATGTATGTGAAGAGAAGGTGGTGAATATTCTTGTGAATGGGATACTCAAGTGATGAAGCTTTTGATACTCGCAGAGCGCAAAAGTAGTGAAGGGTTTGGTGGATTCGTGAACGATTCCAAAGGGAAAGTGAGGAAAGTGAAAGGTGGTAAAGGATTTGAAGATATCAAAAAACAAAAAAAAAAAAAGGATTGAGTGTGTGTCTGGGTGAAAAAGATGAGTTAGGGTTTGCGTCTATGAGCTGGAGGAAGGACGGGAGGAAAACAAACCAGGTGGAGCGGACTGAGATATCTTGTGGCAGGAAGGAGCGCAGAGTTTTCGAGTCTTCCAGAAGAGTCGAAGTGAAGTGTAGTGATTGATGTGAGTGTGAGTGTGTGTGTGTGATGTGAAATTTCTGAGATCGATGGTTGGACAGCCTCGAGGGTGTTTTCATGTACGTGGATTCCTGGATTCTCGGTGAAACAGGTCGTTGACTGGTGTGGCAGGACTGAACGAGACCAAGAGGGTTGTTTGTTTACACAAGTAGTTTTTTATTCACAATTAAAGACGTCCGGCGCAGTCAGATACCAGCTGAGTCAAGAATAGAAGGCGAACGAAAAAGAAGAATAACAAGGCCTTGTCTTGCTTATACATATGTCGATGGTCGAGGTCAAAGATTGATATCTTGGGTAAAGTGGGGCAGCGTTGTGAGCTGCGAGGTTGTTGAAAGGCGAGGAAGGTGCGAACAGTCGACTCGGTCCGGGAGGAAGGAACAATAAAACGAATAAAGGAAGGTTCCTGCCTGCCTCAAGCGCGTACAATGAAATCCACGGAAATTAGGGTGGTCTGAAGAATGGGCCTCAAGGGAAGAAGGGAAACAATGCGATTGTTTCCACTTTCTTTTGCGAATCCCGTGGAGGAAGGCCGTTTGGTGGATGAGGAGGTGAGGTGAAGACCACAAGACCATTTCGGGATGCGAGGCCGGGCTGGTTTAATATCACGTTTGTCTGCCACCCATGGGCCATGTCTGCCGCCTTCCATAGGTAGCCTGGATATCCCTACACGCATCTAGACTCATGCCTTTCCCCTCTAGCTGCTCAACCCGTGGACGAGGGTCGTGATCGACGCAGGATGGGTACCCGAATGACAGGCAAACACCCATGCGGCGCATCGTGGGAGTCGCGATCTAAAACGATAACGGTGGAGGACGGGATGGGCACTCGGACAGGGGGATTCTGGGCATCTGGCCAAAGAGCGAGCAATGTCGGTCGTGTGCCGGGGCCGGCCATAGGGTCGGACGGGGCCTGGTATGGGACGAAGAAGAGCGCATGTTTCTGATGCGAGGTACTGGGCGCCAGTCAAGCACGATGCGCCAAAGTAGCCAAGGTTGATGTTTGACAAGGAACGGTAGAGGTTGAGGTGGACATCTTGGCGCGCAGGTCTCAAGGTTGAAGGCAAGGTAAGGTAGTCACGGTAGGTAGGTAGGTAGGTAGTGTGTATGGCATCCGCATCAAGGTCGGGGAGACGTCGGGTCGGGCGGTGGGCACTTGACGGGAGATGGTCTGCGCTACGCTGCGCGAGAGTGGGGCGTTAGGTACCTTTTGGACTATGGGGCAACAGGTACCAATCGGCGCCGCTCTCCCGCTGTAAGGTACCGACCCTCATGGGGTTGCACCGATCTTGGGTTAGGCGCCACGGCCCCTGTAGCCAGGGATGGGCAGCGAACGACGAAACATGTATCTCTGCAGGCCAAAACGTATGGCCGAGAGACTTTGGCCCCCATGCTTCACAGCAAAATCTGGAACAAGGGGCTCGCACTCCTCTTGCAGGGTCCAGAAGGTCCTGCGAGTTGCGATGCACCTCATCCAGTCAACCAGGCCCATGCGGCCCCTGCCCGAATTAAGCGAACTCCAGACGCAAGGGTCCACCACCACTTTGACTGGCAACCAGCACCTCTGCAACCTGCGGCGCCTACCAAAATTGGCACCTGTCCACGACTTGCTTCTCTATGCTTGTTCCACCTTCAACGCGCCGACGCCATTCCCGTCGTCCATTTCCCCTCTTTTCCTTGCTTATTTCGCGCGTCGTCCACGAATACATGGCCGGCCACCATAAGATTGACTTAGCCTCTTTTCTCCTTTCTTATTTGGCCTTGCCGCGCCGCTGCCGGACATAAGGGCCTGGTAATCTACTCGATTGGCTACCGTTGGCGCAGACTACCGCCAGACAGTCGACGAAGATGGATCCAGGAATGGAACAGGCAAGGAAGTGAACAAAAAAAGCCAAGTTCCCACTGCCGTCCACGCAACTAAACTGACCAGTGTTCCATAGCAGCCTACTTGATGCCAAATCAGAAATGCAAATGCTTCGCAAAACGTACCTACTCCTTGCGCCAAGCATCCTGGTCTCTTTTGCCGCGGACGGAGTCGCGAATATACAAGATTCCAACCCACCTTGGAGCACCGACCTACTCCAAAATCCCACATCAGGGATCTTAATGAGCGATAGCGATAGCCAACAGTTATGGGCATTGGACACAACGACCCCGGTCACCACCTTTCATTCCAGACGGACCGAAGTCCAGGCAAGCGCAATGGACCGCCGTCTACGGACGTCAGGCCGTCAGGGAAGCACAAGCTTGGACGTCTGGACGGCGTCTAGAAGAGCAAAATGCAACTCGACTCGAAACACGGGCCAGCGGCCCCTACACAGCACACAGCACACAGCACGCGATGAACAGCGAACACCAGACCAGGCTTACGTTTTCACTCTTTTGCTCTGTTTTCGCTGTTCATCGCTCTGCTTGCCACGTCTCTTTGCCCTGACAATCGGTGTTCAGAGAAACCGTTACAGTAAATCAAAACCAACAGCAAGCACTAGTTGACGGTACATTGAGGTTGGAAAGTAAGTGTTGTTCAGGATACTCCCAGTTCTGCTCTCTCGTCCGCTTAGACCACCCCCATCTCACTTGTCGAGAGATTGTCACCTACGCCTCCGAGCTCAATGCCCCGGAGCCGTCAATACGCAAGCCACACCCTGGCATATCTACAATTGAATCCTCCTCGCTGGTGGGAATTCACAAATCGTCTTGTCTCATCGTCTGTGCGCATCCCGGTCCTTTCTTTTTCTGCTCCACCGCTAGCAGCCCGCCCCGGGCGGCGGGCGCGAGATCTCGGTGAACGGCTTCAGTCCAATCGTGGCTGAGTATACTGAGGCTCGACTTGACAGCGCTTGCTCAACCGCCGAGATTCTTTGTCACGCGATCGATGAATCTTACACGACTTCAAGTCTTCCTCAAAGATTTTTACTCGAGCAGTCGATTGTCTTGAGAGCTCATTCGACTTACCAACCCCCTATTTCCCATCTTTTGCCACCGTTCGCGATATCACACACCTCGGTCACCAACGTTCAGACATGCAGCGTTTCACCTGCGGCTGCCGTCCACGTTGTTCAGACCACGCACCCGCAAACCCTCGTCCGTCCCAACCTAAGAAAAGAAGAACCCCTGCGAACATCCTCCGCTCTTTTCTTCCCACTGATCGTCCTCACCCTCTGGTTTTGAGCGCTCACATCTTTTTGCACGATGCGATAGGTAGGTCTCCACGTGCACACCTCCACTCGCTTCTCCTGCTCCGCAATCTCGCTCTCTTGTTTGGAATGAAACATGCAACTCTCACGTCCCACTCGCGCTACTGAATCCTCCTGGCGAGACTGGGGAAGGGGGAGTTATTAATGTTACCGCAACGTCCGGGCGGCACGAGTGACGAGGACAGGGACGATGTTGACGACGACTTCGACTACGAATCCACACCGAGAGCTCCGTCGAGTTGCGACAAAAGGCAAAACGAAGAAACGGAGGAACCACAATTTGGCAGCGTCTCACAAAACAATAAGTATTGGCAACAGAGGATCATCTGATCTTTTAAGCTTCCATCACCTCAAACGCTGATGAAAAAAAAGAAAGAAGAAGATGCCCACCACCCACAGGTGACCCCCCCCCCCCCGAATGCGAACACCAGACAGGCAGGCAGGCCACTTTTCTGAGCGTTTCATCTCATCACTCCAGCGAAGCTCTCTGAACCACTCGCTCGTCCCATCACCAACGTTTGGCGGGCATGAAGGATGACAGGAGAAACAATACGTCTCTTGTCGGACCAATGTGACCGTGATGTGGGAACCGAAGCAATTTTTGTTTTCCATTCTTCCCAATAGAGGTTACAAGTGATTATTTCCCCATGCTAAACTGCGGTAATAACAAGACGTGATTATTGGTATCAAAAGTTGCTGTTTCTTTCTAGCACATCACAACATGTTTTTTTCTCGCCCCTATTCCATTCAAGAAGGGCCTTTCTAAGCGTTTCACACATGAATCGGCCGTCAGTCATCCATCCCTCCCAAGTCGATCAGAAACTCCGCAAAATCAAAGTCCACCATCCTTTTTCACCTTGCTCAGATGCCGCTGCATGCGAGTTTGTTTCTCTCCAATTTTACAACGCATACGCAAGCAGGGCGCACATCTCCCGGAGCATGCTGCATTCCCTTTTTCCCCGGCCGAGTGACAAGTTTCACTCCCAGTTGCGGTGTCCGTGACCACCAGCCTCATCCATCACAGCTGCCGGCGCTCGATGGTGCACCAGCTTCTGGATCGATGCAGGGTAGTTCTCCCTGTTCTCCATGTCGAGGCTGTTGGAGCGCGCCCTCTTCCTGCTGCCGATCAACGACTTGAGCGGTGTGAGCTGATCCAGCGAGGGCAGTCCGCTGCGCTGCTGGTCGATTGGTGACCATCCGGATCTGCCGTCTGTGCCGGCCACGGCAGCGACTGCCGAGACGGCCTGGGCCCACGGCTGCTGGTTCCATGTGTGATGGTCCTTGCTCTCGGCCCAGAGGTTGGAGTTGGCGGTTGCGCCGCGGTGGTTTTCGTTCTGCCACTGCTGCGTCTTTGGGTCTGACGCCGTCTCGCTCCAGCCGTTCCATTGATGGAGGTTGTGGAAGGACGAGGTTGCCGTG